TTCTCGCATTGAATATAGTCATAAAGGATCAAATTATTGAAAACAAGCATTTTCATATTTATTTTGGCATCATTTATTACTTTTCGAGAAATTATCCATCACTTACAGATAATTCAATGATTGTTATCTTGGTTTCCTCAATATACTAACATGGAATACGATTAACATGAAAACTACTAATATAAGCCTTGTAAAAAGATTAGCTATTACATCGTTAATTAGAATGAATCTTTCTTAATGCATAGCTTTGAAATATGATCTTATTTTGTAGACCAATGTATCAAACCTGTTTGGTTCACTTCTAAAATTTGTTTAATGATAGTTGTATTTAGTGATTTCTTGTTATGTGTAATGAAGTGACTTATAGTGCCTGATTAACTCATTATCACTGTCACAGACTGTGAAACTGCATAACATTCGGCGGCCTGCTTGAGCATCTGGGCTACCTGTTCCTGTCATCTAGATATTTCAACAAGTTATCTATTTTTGTTTGTTTTAATATATCATTATGTTTATTAATCGCACAACCTATTCTGCTGCGTTTCTGAAAAGTGTACAACCTTTCGTTGTCAAAGTTACAAACAACTCAATAAGAGACAATGTGGTTGCTGGCAATATACAACCAAAAGAATGCATATTATTCAGATGTTCATTTAGTGAACTGCTAACATCTAACTGGCGATCACTCAATATTTATCGCCAGGACCGACCAAGAAGAAAGAAACGGAAACTTGTTGAAATACTTTACGCTGAGAATTCTATATTGTACCAAAAATATAATATTGAATAAAGCTGATAATAATAATAATAATAATAATAACATAGCTATGAATCCCATGGAAAACTACAACTTTCTGAAAACTGTAACCTTGTCTTGCTAATGTATGTTAACCAACCTAGAAACCTAAGTGAAATAGATTGTCCTGACAACTACTTTCAACCACATAATAAAATGATACTCAGGCTATTTACCACTGACATATCTTTAACTATAAACGAGTGAAAATGTTTTACTTGTAGCAAGCCTATTCAACTATTGTATTATTGTCTACTCACTGTAATTCAGACACTTAATTCACTATGTTAATTTCTGTGTTTGTATGATTGAGCGCGTGTCTGCACACCAACCTTAATCTATTCTCCTATTGGTTGTAACATACAGATAATCAATAATTTATCCACACGTGATTGACACTCAAAAATATATATGGACTTTTAACACACACACACACACACTTTCGTGGTTTCACAGTGTGCTTGCTCGCTGTACGATGGTGGGTTTTATTTATCTTGAACAATAAAATATCTCTACAGCTGGTGTTCAGGCTTCTGAATAATCTCGAGTAAATCCATAATTGTACTAGGAGATTTAGCCTACCTTAAATACTCAGTTAACGGGATATCATTTATTGGAGTCAGATATAGAGGGAATTAGCCGCATACTCTCAACAGACTACTAGAATAAAGATTATTGAAGAGTATAGATTTCGATTTTAATTCAACACTCATAATCTAATCAATGTTATAATAATTCTTATCTTCAGTGTATGTGTAAAGATTTTCCCTTAAAATAAACAAACAAACAAAATAATCACCTTTAATTACCATATTAATCGATATGTTGGAAACAAATTTAAAAAAAAGAAAGAACAACAACGAGAAGAGAGTATGGCCAAGAAAATGTATCCTTCAAAAGATAACATGGATCAAATATCTAATCAATACAGATCAAGTTAAGTGAGACAATACTCATATAATGTTCTATCGATAAATAATGAATAAAGGATACAGTATAAGAGAACAATTTAGGTATGGATTAATTAAAATTGAGTAAGGGATAAAAGAAGCTGAAGAAATATTTTTGTCAGAAAGGGGGTTTTGCGGAGATTTTAGTAATTTAATAGTTGAGTTCATGAGTCAATTCAAGCTAGACCAACATGGACAGTGGTGCAATTTCATGAATTGGTTGAAGTTAAACATTAACACCGTTGAATGCCGGCTCAGTGGTTTAAAGGTTAAGCGTTCGTGCGTGAGACCGATTGGTCCTAGGTTCGAATCCCGTGGGGTGGGGTTATGGATACACATCACGAAAGAGTCTAGGTTTCTCATGGTGGTCTGGCTTTAATTGGCTCATGAATTCAACTATTAAAATATGTTTGTATTGTAAGTTTTTAAATCAACAGTATTCAGTGTATATTGTGTGTAATTTGTAATCTCTAACCTTCATGCTTAACCAGGAACTATGTTAGTAGTCCTAAAGTTACTTTTGCAAGGTTTATAAAAGGTTTAGGAGGATAGATTTTTTGCATCCATATTGATGAATGTTTTTCGATTTACTGATAGAAAATTCCATAGATGTCAGTAGGTATGGCAACTATCCTACGACCGATTTCGATTATGGTTAATTTTGGTTAAGCCTTTTTATTAACTTAACAGACAATGTCATTTGAATAGTAACAATTCAAATACTTCTTTTTATCGTTATGATCACCAGAGGACATGACACACTCTAGCTAAAATGTTGATCGCTTAAATATCACTTGACGATGATTCATTCTTCTCCTCAGGTATATATGTGCTCAAATCCTATTATTGGCTTTTGATTTGCCTTGCTGTACCCTTATGTGATTTGACTATAAATTTACTTAAGTAATTGCTCACATATACTTATTCACCTCTCCGCTTCAAATTCGCTCGATGTGCTTATAGCTTTGTGATCTGCTCTATCCGCTAATAAATTGTAGTTGCCGCTTCATTTTGCCTTCTGATTTCAAACACCGTTGAGGTTTATTTGATAACGGTTACAAGGGTGATTAGTTAACGAAGCAAAGCCACTACATATGATCGATTAATATGTATGATATTTGTTATAACAAGCGCAATGAATTTGTAGACAGTTTTTAAATATCACTGGTTGAAATCATGAGTCAATTGAAGTTAGACCACCATGGGAAACCTGGAAGCACTGGATGGCCGTTTCGTTTTAGTATCTCCACAAAACCCTCTCTGATAGTTTTTAAATAATCAAAAAATGACTTTGTAAATGAATTGTTTGTGGAAACAAAGGTAATGGGATTTTAAAGTATAAATAGGTTTACCATGTTTAATGAATTGAATGAAGTCCTCTAAATCTGCTTATACATGTTAATGGAGAAAAATTAATATATATTCGCCCATATGGCTATAGAATATTTGTCTTATCTAATGTCTAAGAGAACTCGTAATGACTTTTAGGGGTCTCCACATTGCTACGGTCATTTCTACGTTTAGTTCCAAGATAATATGCTTAACAAAAAAAATCAATTCTAAAGATCATTTATATAATCGTTATCTAGAACATAATACAGATTAGTAAGCATATTTATAAAGAAAGGTTTCGTTAAGTTCATTGGCATGTAGTAATCACAAAGACGATAATCTCGATGCGTAAGATAGATTGAGAGTGTGTGATTTGTGTTACTTATGTTAACAGACATAAGTCGAAGTGAAATGATTGAGAAGATCGAATGGAGGAGAACAGGAATGTAAACAGAGAGTAACTGTAATAGAAACGAGAATCAAGGAACGACAAAGTTAATGAGAGTTGGTTGATGGGAGATGTACAAATAAAGCATTTAGTGTATGGTTTTCATATTTTATGAAGACATTCTGTAATATTGTAATAAGTGATAAAGTGGTCTTCCCCACTTGAGTGTTCGTTCACTACAAGTGTAAAATGCATTTCCAGTTTAGTTCTGTCACAGAGTTTGAAGTCTTCAGTAGCATACAAAAGACAATAAATATTATAGTTAAACGAATATATGCTGGAACTGAATAGAGTGTTGTAATTTACCATGATATCGGAATTAAAGTTTTCGGTAGCCTTATTTACAGTCTGATGATATCAAGCTAAATTGAACATAGTAAATGTTTATGTGTTTATACTGCATATCAGTTGGAAGAAAGCTTCCAAAATAGCATTTTTTTTTCTGTGCTTTATTGCACATACAACTAATAGTGCTACTAACAACATTAGTAATAATACTGATAGTCAATTCCTAACTTATTGATATTTCTTAAAAATCATTTCTCCACCTCGAATGAAGGAAAGTCAAGTTAGTCTTCTCCAGTTATAGACAAAATATAAATAAGTATCTTGGGTCAATGATGATACATAGTCATCTAATCTAGGTCAGTCAACCCCGAAATGTTATGAATTAAGAGAACCCGGTGTCATCTTATTCAACATCTAATCGATAATACTCCATTTTTTCAACGATCATTTTGTCAAAATTACATATGATTAGGTGATGATGATATTAATTTGTAATTTGTGCATATGTAATCTACTTACAATCTACTTATAACGACGATTTTGAATAAGAGAAACCTGGAATTTATCATCCTAACATTTTGTAACTTAAAGTCTATTCATCTATATATAATCTAAACTTTCTAATTAAATATACATATACTGATAAAGAATGATTTCATGACGGTGATGCATGATTTGATAATAACTGAAATCAAGCTATTTGTTCTGTAAAAATATTCTTGTCAATGTTTTACAAATCAACCAATAGCATTAAATTTCAGCTAAATAAGTACAGTTGATATGATATTTGACGACGCCTTTCACCATTTGAAGTCCAAATGATAAGATACAAGATGTTATGTTTGTTTACTTTTATGAAACTTGATTGGGAAAGCATGTAAACCATTGTGATGCGTGCTACTTATATTGATATAAGTAGTATATGACGCGAGTCAGGAATGTAATGTCTGGTAGCAGAAGATGGGGAAGATCAGGAAAGGAAAAGCGAGAACAGAAAGCAATTAATATGGAAATGTAAGAACAATGAAGTTTGAGACAATTATTGAACATTTTGCAAATTAAGTATTATAGTATGGTTTTTCTATTTTACCAAGTAACTCTGTAATTTTGTGCTTAATACAATTCGACTGTCCCCATCCATGTTCTGTTCACTACACCATGTGATTATGATAAATAAATATCAAATTAAATAATATATATGTATTGATGCTTTTAATGAGGCATTTACAGTAGTTTAACGGTAGTATTGTTTTTGATTAGCAATGTAATGAAATGAGCTTCTACACTGATGGTAATAAAAAATCCCAATAGCGTAGTGAATAAAGTCAATGATGCCAGACAGTAATCCGGATAGTAAGTATAACTGGAAATTGTACTAAATGTAAGCTGCCCGAAACCAATAGCAAGCTGAAAAAAAGGATGGAAAACGAAAGATCATAATTGATCTAAGAAGCAGAATTATTGTAAAATACTGAAGTAGAGACAAACAACTGTGTAACAAGCTTATTAAAAGAATTTTTGACCAAGGTAAAAAAAAGTCTAGTTCAGAAAGGGTTGAATTACAATACATCAAATTTTTCGGCACCGAAATCATTCATACCGCCGAATTCCTCGTCTAAAACATCAAGACTAAATGAAGAAACTCAACAACAAATAAGACAAGTGGTAATGTTGTTGAGTTGATGTAAAGAAAACTGCTTTCGACTAAAGGCATAAAAACGGAAGGCTCTACGGAAACAGAAAACAAGGAGAAATACAATCATGATCATTCTTAACAAGGAGCGTACCACAATAGTCATGAGTGAAAGGACTATATTTGGAACGATAAGAGGTTACTCAGAGATGATAGTGTATACCAACAAATGGAAACTAATCCCAACCAAAGCTAAACGGCAATATTTATAGTACTCTAAAACAGACTAATCAAAGATGGATGACTAACAAGCACGATTCACAGCTAAGAAAACCAAATGGACTTCTTATTTCCCAATGTTATGGTTGACCGAAATTACACGAGCTGTACATTACAAAAAGTCATTACACTTTCAAGGACATTTTGTGTTTCAATAGGAATATCAATCGTGTTGAAATATGTGATGAACCCATGCGACTACTCTATCAAATATTCAACACAATTCTTAGATCAAATGAAAGATATTCAAATCGCCAACAACAATTTGATTTCTTTGGATGTCACAGCGTTGTATACATCATTTGAAGCAAATCTACCATATCCTTGCCCCTCTCCATTGATATTAATCTTTCAAAATATAACAATTCTGAAAGTCGAAGTCTTAATGATCCCATAGACTCATGTCTAACAACATATTTCCGACTGAACGAAAAAAATATGTGGACAAACGAAATAAAATCCATTCGGGTCTTAGATATCCGAATTAATTGCAGAAGCTGTTATACAGTGGCTAGGAACTCCGGTCTTATCAATGATAAAACCAGAAATCTGAATACATTGTGTAGACAATACGTTCGATATCATCGAATCAGTTCATCTGAAAAGTGCTAATATTTGATCGATAACGTCTTTGGCGACATAAAATTCATATCAGAAAAGAAACGATACAACGAACTTTCATTTTTGATCAACAAAGGAAAACTGGTATATATTGACAAGCAATGCACACCTAAGAAACATTAAATTATAGTAGTAACAACCTAGTAAGTTAAAAGTTGCATTGAAACAATTCCTAAAAGAATAAAGTCATAATAAAACACAAACATCACAAGGAAAGTGAAAGAAGGTACATAATGGACGTATTTAGGCAGGACTGATAATCACACAACATGATTGAGAATTATCTATCAAATGGAACATCAAATACAAAACTTATAGGAAAAACCAACAAACGGATCATTCTACCCTACATGGAAAACATCTCAGAGACTATACTGGTTATTAAGACTGCTAGGAATAAAAAGACACAATGACAAACAAGGATAAGTCAAACATGATCTACGGGATAGATTACATTTAATGAGGCAAGGAAACAAGACCAAGTTCCCAAACCTTCATTTACGTCTACATGAACACCAGTTCACTAATAAATGCCACAACTCAGCCTCCCCCTTATCAACTCATATAGACAATTATGGACAAGAGTTCGACTGAGAGTTCGTTTAAATAATGAATGGAGGAAACATAAAGAAAACCAGAAGGTTCTTAGAAATCTGACAATTTGATCATGTAGTTCATAGACATAATGAGATCGACTAATTCTATAAACAAATAAAAGATGATGGCAATAACTGTAAGGTAAGAGTTTAGATCAGGAGGGGAAAAGATCATTAAAAACATGCAGATATGACCATACAGTATTCATAACCATTAAGACGCTCACATGGTTATTCATTTTTAACTTACAATGCCAAGATCATACTAGTAGCAGTAAACAATAGAGCATTTTTACTAACCAATTTTTTTTCACTCGACCTTCACCTTCTTCTAATTGATTACCACTACAATTAGTTTCCTAGCCTCCTGTATAATAGGAGAATTTATGCTTTCTTTACTGAATATATTGGGCTGCATCATTTCAAGTTGTTCTGTTCGAATATCAAATTTCTCCTAAACTTGGTATTTTTCTTGTGTTGACGCCTTATTGCTAAAATGTTATCTGTCAGACTCCAGTATCAAGTCGGCAGTTGGACTATTCGTATTAGAAAACCTTAAAGTTCTTTAATTTGAAAGTATCGTAAGGTAACCTGTAAACCCTGATAAACAACGGGTTTATAGAATTTTAGATCAACAAAACAAGTTGTTAGTCACTATGGTGAAATTTTGAACGCCAACTTTTTTTAAGGGGAGTGAGGCTGAAGTTCCCTATTGATGTGGGCGAGAATGATAATGATTGGTTGTCTGCTTAGTCAGACATGTAGATAGTCTGACAGGTGTCAGATGAGTTACTTATTCCCCTATCCTTATAATTATTGTTACTCACTTATTATTGATTGTTCATTGTTGTTGGATTGTGTCAGGTTTTTGGTGTGTAAATATATTTACGTTGTGGTCAGGCTAATCATGTGTTCTTGATCTGAGTTGTGTTGAAGTCCGATAGAATAGACACTGGGAGGGAATCTAGTGTAGATATTCATCTATGGTAAATTAACGTCCCATACGTGTAAACGTTGGAAACCCAACCGTTATAACACCTAGAAGAACAATAGAAGTTTCAGAACTATACAATCCAGCTCAGAAAACACAGCACCTCAAACATATAAAATCGTGATATAGGGAACATTGCTACTACTAACGAAATACACTTATTATTTCTGACAGTTTCATTACATCTAGTCAAATCACTCTTTGTCGAAAGTACAAAAATATAGTTTGGTTTAGAACTTTTGACTCATTCAAAGTACGAACAAGTACATGAACATGTTTTCTGAAAGGTCAGTGTCCTAACTTGTCACTGAAGTGAATGTTTCATAATAAAAATCAATAAATACTCGATAATCATAATGTGTTTAAATATATATCGGAATGCTTAGGATATTCCGGCAACATTTATTGAACACTTTCAGAGACCTTCGACTATTCATCAAGAAACGAGTACAAACAAAATACGTGATTTATACTAGTTCATTACAAACATATTAGACATCAGATACAACTCTAAAAATACGATTTCTTCAAATATATATAACTATTAATCAAACTACATAGCTGTCACTTTTATAGTGAATATGATGTCAGTAAATGAACAACTTACTCTATTCACTAATACCTTCTATCATTTTAAATCAATTTAGAAAATAATGACTATAAACTCACAGGAATCAATATGGGCAATACCCCGGCCACATAAACAGCCAAAGCCACCTATGAAACATAAAATACAATGAAATTAGTAATTGTGAAATATCATGTTACAATAATTTGTGACCAATTAACGATTATGTGTAAACGTCTGAGCTGAAATATATAATTAGTGATCCAGATTAATAAATTCTTTTTAAGATTTAGAATGACTTACCTGTGTGTAACCTGCTATAATAAGACCGATAAATACTACTGTGATTGTGGAAAGTTCTGCAACACAGTAAATCATAAATACACTTGTATATTGACTTAAGTCAGTCTTTATAACCATACCAACCGGGACCAAAATCGAAAGCAACACGAAAGCAATAACCCATGCTATGACTTTTACTAGAATTTCCACATTGATGATAGAGTATCCATGAGCTGCAGATATAGCCAATCCCTATTTAGAAATTCGAAAGCACTCGTTAAATATTTGTCCGAATCATATTGGATAGTTATGAAATGTATTTTATAGAAAGATAAGGATATATTTCTGACACTGTTTAGCACATACACAAATCCATGCAGTGCAGTCTCTATAACAGAGCCATATTGACTAGATAATTCAAAGACATTGACTTGATGAGATATTTTGATTATAAATGAACTCAATATTCTATTTTAGCCCTTTGTACTATTTAGTTTTATATTTAATAAATTGGATCGTTTATTTACTCCATGAAGAAAAGACTGGAACTAATCATCGAAACGTCAAAAATTCTAATTGTTGAGACATCATAAATATATCATTATGGAATAATTTACACACACGTCTATCTACGTGAGTTGTTACTAACACTTGTAAAATTGAGCTCACAAAATATGTCAAACTGTTCGAATTATTTAGCTTTAACTATTTTTAATAAACAATAAAGAGAGTTCAACAAGAATATTTTCTTTTAACTGTTAGATTGACACCTGCTATGTCTAGAGTTATATGTGCGAAGTCTTATGGCTTCAGCTATATGTAGGAGGCGGGAACGAACTCCGTTGGGAAAGGATGGAACTATACGATAGATCATTTCGCGTATGTCTAAAGTGTTTGTTGCTTTATAACTGCATACCTTTGGTTAATTATATTACAGCATAAACAAAGTAATATCGAAGGACTATGTTGAAGCAATTGAATATATGGTAGATTTACTGTGGTAACTACATCTAGTAAAACTGATTATTTCTCAAGGATTTCTAAACAACTGGAAACCACTTAAGTCTCATGTTATTTTAAAAATTTGTAGATTTACACATGTACTAAAGTGGGTCTTTAATTTAGTTGCACTCTGAGTGTACTATAGCTAAACTCAACACAAACTTGTAATCACTAAACACCCTGATTGACAAACACTCGTCAATTTTGAAATAGCGATGGTTTCATTCTTAAAATAGAAATGATGTGACTTCATGAAAGTTGCTGCTGAACATGATTAGGTCAACATTGATATTACAGAATAATGTATGTTATAAGATGAACTTATGATTGTCAAACCATATTTCCCTGATGATTTGAACACATGTTAACTATTATGAATGGTTCAATCATGGGGACTTATTTCTTTGTATTTCAAAAGAAAAAGGAAAATTATGTTTTGTTTTATAACTTGCATCCCAACGAACCAATATACATATACATAATGAGGCAGACATACATTCCTCTACTGGTCTAGTGACAGCTAAAAAGAGTCAACAGGCGAGTTTGCACTTCCAATCAATATATATTGGGTTCTGTTGTTAAATGTAGTTCAAGATTATATCAACGTCATCTATATGAATGAACATGTTTCAAACATGATGAACTTTGAAGTGTCAAGTGCTAAACACTTGAAAATAATTTCACCAACTATATCGATCGGAAAGATATAATTATTATGAGTAGTAATGATTATCAGTGAAATAATAGTTTCTCACGTATAAAATTAACATTATTATATTCAAGGGATACGTTTCTCTCATCTTCCGTAAAATAACCAACATCATTCCTAGAAAAAAACCAATAATACTGGGAAAAAACAACATTATATTCATTATATATTTCTTTTTATTTGTGTATATTTAATAACGTAGTGAGTAGAACATCGGAGTACTTCATAACAATATTAAGAATACGTAAGTAGACTGAGTTGATTTGGAAGATATAGATAATGATGATCAATGTTGTATAAATAATCTGATTTTAAATAAAGAAACACTGTTAACACTTAGTTTTAAATCAATGTTTTTAGCTAGAACATCGGTAAACTGTGTCGTCCTCTTATAGATCTTATCAGTAGTATCGATCCCGTAACAGTGGATCTAACTCAGGATCAATGGGAGTGTTTACAATTCTTCTATCATCAAATGGGTGAGTACGGTAATGAGTTCTTAATGAAGATGATATGCTTCATATATATATATATATATAAACACTTGTAATCCATCAAATTAATTATGAAACATATCAACTTCATTAGGAACTCATTATCGTACTCATCTATTTGATATGATCATGCCTTGTTCAGAGTGACTTGTTCATTTCGAAGTAATCTGCAATAAATACTCAGTAAAACCGATTATTCTTTGTTGAAAAGGATCTGGTGGGACAGTATACGGTTTAATTAAAAGTTGACCCATTTAGAAGCCAATATTTAAAGTCCTGATCTATAAGACAGAAATTATAACAAGTTATATATTTCAATTCATGTGGCTACGTGATCAGAACCCTATTATTGAAAGGATCGGTTCTATTATTGAACAAATAAGTTTAAATAAGTTAATTAATTTTAAGTCGGAAGAATGTATGAAAACGGTGATACATTTTCAAAATAGAAATTTTCCTCAGTCATAAGTTGAATTGTCTTCTCTTATATTTCACATCCAGCTGAAATGAAAGATTCTAAGAGTAGCCGTCTTGTTTCCAGTTAATTCGTGTTTAGTCAGTACATATCCACATTTTCACATCACATTATATGTTATATGTGTGAATGATTGATGAAAGTTTTTAAGGAATGACAAAATATCTGCCTATTCAACATAACTTCATACATCAAATCATCGGAAGCTTGGAGGTTTAACTGATGGTAGGTAAACTATCACTTGATACTTCTATTCCTTTGATAATATAAATTGTTTTGTAACAATAATCTTGTTACAAGTTCGTAGACTCCACTTGTAAAGTTAATTACATTTAAGAGAAAAACGAATATATTGTAACATTCCACTCTGGTTAACTTAAAACAAACAAACATTTGATTGGATTTATACAGATTTGTAATGATTTAAAATATATTCCAGTGGGATACGACAGATATTAAACGCGAATATGTTCATATACATATCTGTGTAAAAATTAACATGGTAGAATGCGATATATTTTTCCATACACTTGTAGTGACCTACACGTCATTGGTGTAATGGAAACTATTATTATAACCAATTGTACCGCGGATTGTTTTACTGTACTTGTTTGTTTAACTGTACCAAAACACATACATTCTTCCGTTGATTGTGACCTTGCACGAATTCGGTTACGCTCAGTAATCATAGTTGTAATCTGACATGATCTCTGTCTTTTTTCGATACTACGAGATCGCCCACAAATACATCTCGACCACAGTCATCAACTGCCTTCTGATATTTGGCCTATGGGGGATCTTATCAGTTAACTAGCACGTAGTCTTCCTCTAGTGGTGATCATAGTCAACCGTGACTCGACGCCACATTACACACTGATGATATTTATGATTATTCAACTTACATTATGAACAAAATCTGTATTATCTTTAGTTGAATAATTAAAAACACGTTAAAATGTATTGAAACCTATCTGAATGATGTCATATAGAGGTAGCTTACTTAATGTTGTAAATAACTGTAATATTATATTCATTAATAATGATATGATGATTGAATATAAGCACATGATGTAAGTATAAACTGAACATACTTGAATACACTTGTGAAAATTGTTATACATGTAACCGTTTTAAATTCTTCTTTTCTAATGAATAATAATTTTGATCATCAATTAGCTTACAACAAGAATAAGGTTAGTGTTACGATGATTGATAAAACTGATAGTACACTAGTAAGTATTAAAACCTAAAATTCCATAATAATCTCAACAGAAAACAAACCATCGCAGTATATGGTAATTTGGGTTGTAGAGCATTCTGTTGAAATATATGCTTTATTCTGAAACCCATATTGCAGAACAATACTGATGATGTTTATTGACGATCTCAATTTACATTTATTGACTGAATGGAATGTGCTTGTTTCTACAACATATATAATATAGCAGAAATTAAACAATAATAGCGAAATAAAAATTCACGTATGGAATAACTATTAATATAAATAACAATATAGGGTTGTGGAGATTGTTAACTTTTGATTGAGGTCATGAATCGATCAATGTTAGGCCACCATTGAAAACCTAGAAGGAATGGACAACCGTTTCGTCCTACAATGGAGCTCCTCAGCAGCGCGACAAATGGCATGTCAATTAGCTTACATAATCTTACTAGTCATAAGCTAATACAACCTTTCTAAAGGGTATCAGTAGGTATGATAAATATAGTTCGTTTTTATTTATGAATGTGTTAAGTATTATAATTAATCGGCAAGTAGTCTGTAAGATCTAGTCGAATTGAATCGAGAACATGGTATTGTCTAGTAATGATGACGTTTAAAATGATAATGTTGAGCTTATCATATAGTTAATTTTGTAGATTGTATATAGGCATCATAACCCATAGCACATAATCGTAAGACCAAAATCAATCTGTTGACATTATATTTTACGGACGAATTGTTCACAGAGTGTATCTAGAATTTTTGCTCGAAGTCTGTTCATCTGTGTGGCCGAAAATGAAATTTATAAATTACTTTGAACAAACAAAACTAATCATCACAATTGATTATTAGTTTATTGTGTATACAGGTCAAATCACATACTCACATTTGCTGAAGTATCATCAAGAACCTTGAATTAGTGAAAAGATATTTGGTTCAAATCCATTAAAGTATGCATCTACAACTCTACTGAGAATCAAAATTCAAAATATCTACGTAACACCATAAGTATTTCACTCGATAACCAGTGAACTGATATCTAGTAGTATCTTATTGTAACTTCGTTCCGATTGCGATATTACACAATGATCTTACAATAATAGTAATCATAACTACCCTGAAGAACCTCTGTAATTCGTCTGAAAGTCATTTCCAAATGAATGCATGATTATTTTACAGTTTATTGGATTATAGAATCTAGTACACTATGAAAAGAGTCTTCATCAATAACTGAAATCTAACAATGAACAATTCATTACACTCACATTCTGTATTTGATTAAGAAGTTGTAATTTAACGTAAAGAAAAAAGTCTAAAAAAAATTTCATAGAATGTCGTCACTAACCGAGTTGAAGTATTCCGACTACGTTTTGAAATACAGTTAAATGTTACAATGTAAATATACAAATGATTGGAACTAATACCAATCATATAACTGTTTGTTATAAATGGACTTTGAGTCGAATAACCAACAATTGATTTGTTAAGAAATAATGAATACACTTAAACTATACAACCAGATTGTAAAGTATCATTTTCATATTATTTATATTCAATCCTATTTCATACTTTGAACTCAGTTTTGATGTAACTGAATTATGGTAAAAGATCATTCAGTGTTATTTTGTATTAAGAGATTTATTAGTGCTTAAATTGTATGATTCTTCAATATGATGTGATGTTGAAGTTATAATGAGAATAAGCTTCCGTAAGTCATTACTTCTCAACAACGCCATATATTTCCAACTAACTTATCAGAACTCAGTAGCTAAGTAAATAACGCGATGGTGTTTGAAGCGAATGGTACTGAGTTCGAGCGCCAGAGTGAACATCAACTCTGAGGTGAAAGTACATCCAACTGACGAGTCCCACATAAGACGAAACGCTCATCCTGGGTTCCACTATCCATCTTTACGTATTCATTTCTTTTTCCAATTTCAGACGATTTCTTAATGATTCTACTTCAACTAATCAAAATAACTATTTCACATTGATTATTTTATCCGTATGATAAGAAATGCTTGATGAAAAAAAAGACAAACAATCAATCATATGGTCACTATTATTCAGAATATTGTTAAACGTCATCCATTAAAATGTAATCCAATTTATATGCAAATTATTTCATCCGTTGAATATTGAATGAATGAACGAATAAATGAATGTTGATGAAAAAGAAGCAAACCAAATATCTTTTGCTGTTGTTGTTTCCCCCCCCCCTGTTTTTTAGACGAAATAATAAATACAAATAGAGCATTATATCTATTCACAATGTGTTTACTCTTATTGATAGGTCAAAACTCATAGTGAATGTTGTTTGTAAACATTTTTTTGTTTTTGTTGTTGTTGTTGTCAAGTTTACTACGATTTCTACATGACGATGATAATGATGATGATCATCATCATTTATCATCAACTGACTTTTTAGCTAAGTTATCTAAACTCTAGAATTCGTTATTATAGATCAGAAAGATTGATTCAACTGATCTCTATTTCATCTTTTTCTTTTAACAAATATTATTTAAAACTAATAAATTATCACTTCTATTGATTAGATGTTTACTGTCTTTAAGTTGATGTTCTGAATGTGTAAAGATTTGTTAAGTACAATACTATGATTATCCAGTTCCTTAGTGTTAATCAAATTCTATCTGTCAAGTTCCAACGTAGACACTAATGTGAATGATTCAATTTCAGGTGCAACCTCAGATGATTAATGTAATTGGCAAGACATTTTGTAGAGTGCTAACTAGTACAAAAGCTAAGTACAAGGTTTCCTGTTATGAATGAACATGTTCATAAATGATTGATCACTGGGTGGCGATCAATGTCATGCGTGAAGTTTCCCCGCGTGGGTTCGAATCCCATCCCCGTCGCCACTGATAAGTCTTGTTAATTCGAACGCTTTATTCGGTTCCTATGCCATTCTGTTAACCCGCATGCTAGAACTACGCAGCGACCTAAACTCGAGAGAAAAGGCACAAAATAAGCAAACAATACTTTACTCCAAAGGTTCCTTTTTTTGTACAGAAAAACACGGGTATTTATAGATGTTAACATTTGTTCAACCCATATCATATCTTGGCTAATCCGCTAAAAGACATATTATGCTACTCACCAATAGTAGCATACCACATTGATATTCTAGAAAGCTCACTCATGTTCTGATTGGCTAGGACTCTTCGGCTCCTTTATGGCCTCTGGAGGCTCCGCTGCAGTTCTCGGGAAGCCGACTCAACACTAAGTACATAGAATACATAGAATATTTAGTACTTATTATTTTTCATGTAGGATTTTACTAATCGATTATTGAAGTAACATAAGTAATAAGTTCAATGATAAAAATTGCTCTGAAAAACTGATAAACATAAAGTCACAAGTTTTATAGTTCATGTGTACATACTTGAAATAGTACATGATATAGTGTTATAATTTTCGATGCAAACACTTCTTAACGTTTGATAGGGATAGTAAGATAACTAAGAATGAGTAAGAAGCTTTATCCTTAACATTTGATGAATGTGTACATAAACTAAGTGAGCATGTTCATGGTACTGCAATAATGCAGGAAAACATATGTGAGAAGCGTGACCTTAAGTTAGTGAATAACATGTTTATTTACAATGTTCTACCCAAACTTGAATTTCTCACTACCATATGGTCTTGAAAAGAAAAGGTGGTTTTCCTATGGCATAGTGATTCTCAAACATGTAAGTTTTAGTCAGAAATAGTAAGTCTTGATGACATATTTTGTCATCAAGCAGTAACAACATAATTTCGCATTCATTAAGTCAGTCAAACACATTAGTTGGTGACGGATAAGAAGTAAAATTATTTGATTGAGATCATAAAAAGGTTCATGTTAAACCACCACTGAAAACCTGGGAGCACTGGATGGCTGCTTCGTCCTATTGTGGGACTCCTTAGAAGTGCGCATTCACGATCCCACTCGCGTGATTTGAACCCATGTCCTTCAGTCTTGCGCGCGAACTCTTAACCTCTAGACCACTGAGCCGGCATCCAGCAGTGTTAATGTTTAATCTTAACCAATCCACGAAACTGCGCGACCATCTTCCATTGTCTGAGGTAGATACCTGTCTCTTTCTGACATGGATTAGCTTCACTGCTCACGGCTTCTCACTAGAGCTCCGAGAATTCCGTCACAAAGCTAGTTACTAGTGAGCACATGGCACTTATTAATATAGGGTTGTGGAGATTATAATGTTTTGATAATAGTGATAATAATAATCTCCAAAACCCTATACTGATAATCTCATTTGAACTGTGGCATTAATTAACACCAAACTGAGAATCATTCAGAGTCGGAAATTTTCGGACAAATAAGTGAACTCCAATCTTAGATAACACCAAGAAACACAACTTAATTCAAATCCATAATTAGGGTTTCGACGTACTTTCACTTCTGTCTACATATAATAGTAATCTTAAAGAAAAGTAGAGTCACAAACAGTTTCATAGCTTCATCATAAACTTCTAGTATGCATAAATCAACAGTCCTTAATTTGAAGTAAATAATGGCTGAAATGTTACTCCTGAGTAATATATTTTTTCAGTAAAACTAGTTATTCTGCATATGATGAAAAATCATGTTGAACAATCTATACAAACCTTTTTGATCCCATAAGAGCTGACCAACTTTCAGTTGTTTCATGTTCATAGAATAATTCCAAACACTTAAATACGATATCATAACCGATAAAATTAATCTGTTTCAAAATTAAAAGTTACTATTGAAAGTACCTAATGTTTCTCTGCCTTTTAAGTAGATTAAATTTGGAAAAACCTAACTACTGAATTCCTATTCAGTAGTTGACAAAGCTATTTTAGAATTAGGCAAATCTCTATCAACCACTCAAGTACATCAATATTATTATCAATAAATATGTCCAAGTATCATCCTCTACCCGTCAAAGGAAAATGGATGATCATCTCTAACTGCATAACTGATAAATATCTTCATAGATCGTATAAATTACGCAGTATCAAAAATCTCAGTGATACACAGTTATGAAAATCTTTATTTTATTATTTGCTAAAACAAACAGGAAACTTGATTTTATCTCAAAACATCTTTTGACATATGACTAATATTCTATACTGTATTGTTCATTTGTTTTAATGTACACCGAAAATGTTTACATGTATTATGGTCTTTATGTTTTACATTCTCATTTAAATAAGAAAGGGATTTAGTTTGTTGTTGTCTGAACCGGAAATAATGCTTGCTGTATTTTTTTTTCTGTTGAAAAAACATGAAGTTTCACTAATTCCATCAGTGGAAAAGAGAAATTGTAAATTAAAGTATGAGTTTATGATTCTCTGTCGTTTATATTTATCATAAAAATTGATCGATTTGGGTAGCAGTACATGCGTTCTGATTAAATTGCTGCGACAAATAGTTATATCAGATGGGTTTTGTGGATATTATAGTAATTTCACTGGTTAAGATCATGAGTCAGTTGAAGCTAGACCACCATGGAAACCTGGAAGCACTGGACGGCGCACTGAATGCGCACTGCTGAGGAGTCCTACAACAGGACGAAACGGCCGCCCAGTGCTTCCAGGTTTTCCATGGTGGTCTAGCTTCAACTGACTCATGATCTTGACCATCGAAATAGTAATATCACAAATTTAATCATATTCTGTGTTTGGTTATGAGTTAAATTCCAGGAACGCTTTTTCGTCATATTCAGGACCCTTTATTTTGGTGTAATCGTATCCCGGTACTGATATCCACAATGAGATTCGAATTTATTATGCTTCAAACACCATTCCGTTAATCACTGAGCTATTGTATCCAGTTACATAAGACTGACGGGTTCTATATAGGACAAAACTCATTTTCTGAACCCCTCTGTTAACCAGAAGTCAAATATAATAAAATCTGTGTTGAATACAATTTTTTACGATGAAAAAACTGAAATTGTTTATTATGGCTCATTTAATTTATTATTAGTAACTCTAAGGTGTCTGTACTATCCACAAGGGACCCTACGGTCATGAATTCAAGCATGTTTAACGTCAACGGTGACAAGTAGTGTCAATGTAGTGATAAATAGTATCTTACAATGAAACAATATCCCGCAAATACCAAGTTGAATTACTTCCATACGATAAATGAATTCCGCTGACACGTCTTTTGCTTAAGTGTTAACTGATGTTGAGATAAGCAAACTCATGTGTTATTACTTGAAAGAGCTTGTAAAGATTGCTGTATGGCATAATCTACTTGATGTTACTTACCCACCAATGATATTGAGAAGTAGTTGAACTGTATTACTGATTGGTTAAAGTTAAACATGAAAGAAACGGGATGCCATACTCAGCATGTTAACTTGAAGTTACGCATCAGTCTAAAGGCTAATAATAATGAAAGTTGAACAACTTGATCGTTGTGTTCAGGAATGTTTAATCCTTTATCGTACCATTAACATAACACTCCTTGCTTACTTGATAAGTTTTTTTGAAAAGCATTTATTTCTTCTTTATATACATCA